CAACACTCAGAACAAGACGCTTGAGCCTGCGCGAGGCCGCAGTCTATTACATGCTCTATCCCGGCTCAGCTTACTGTTTGCCCCATGGCTTCAACGTGAGTTTTGAGTTTGAATGACTTTGAGTCGTTTGAAAAACAGGGCTGGGTTTGCAGCCTAAATGCTGACATGGCGACATGGATTACAAAAAACTTCTTGTAGTGTGACTAAGCTGTCCTGTACACCATGCTATGACCGCGGTTGGTGCAAAGTTGCAACGCAGCACAAACCCCACGCGTGCAAGACGGTGCAAGGCGGGCGCAACAAAGCCCCAACACTACAGCATCCGCGCTATGGAATGTAAAGCCACATTCATATGCGCCTGACGCATTTCAGGGGCCAGCCTCCAGGGCTTGTTTCCGTCATCGTACCTCGAGATGCAACAGTACGAAGGCTGTTCATGTCAGCCGAGCTTTGGAGTTTCCCCATAAATCCAGAGATAATCAGAGGTATGCGAGCTACTTCGTGGGGTCTCTGGTGGAGTTTGCCTACTTCGCCATCCTGAGTTCTGCAGCCCGGCTCGGCCAAAGTGGCAAACAATAAAACAACTCAAGATTTGGCCACACCCTTATAGAAGTGGCGCCCGATCTCCTTTGCCAAGCCGCGTTTGCATGTGGCTAGTGCGGAGTGGGAGAGGACAGCTGAACGGCGTAAGCGATGGAGACGTGTGACGTTCAAAAGGTTCCTGTGTCCCTTTCACATGCATGGCGTTTTTGCCTAGAACTGAACTGTTGCCTGAAAGTAGTCGACACATCTGATGTTCCAATGAGGCTCCGTTCCTGAAGGTGTTCTAAGTGAGAAAGAAGACAACGCACCCGATGCTGTACCCATCCGCTTGTGCCGACCAAGCATGAACAGTATGGAATTGATTGCCACGCTATGGTCATGCTTACGGTGCACCGCCTCGGATGCGACCCAGAGACAGGTGCTGCACCCACTAGCCGCCTGCCTCGGCTACGCAGTAGCCATCGAGGCGCTTACCGAAATGCGGCGCTTGTCGTCCGCGATGCCAGGTATTTTCAGATTAGGTGATTCTTGGCTTCAACATGTTGTCTGGATAGTCAGTCAGGTGTAGACAGTGTAGACAGCGTCGCTCAGTTAACATGATACCTGACATCACCAAAATGGGTATGTGGGCATGGTTCTGATGCACGGAGCATCACCCTTGATTGACACCTTTTCCCATCAGATTGATGGATTATCCCGTGTGAAGCAGGAGATGCTTCACGGTCTTAGCTTTATGTCCTGAACCTTCAACCCAGGGCAGGGAAACGGGTGTTGGCAAGAGTGGCAGCCCTTTCCCAGCCCCAGCTTTTACAAGCCAAGCGCGTACTGTGGCAACACACAAATTAGATTAATAACGGGGGCACTGATTGCCTGAAGGTGGCCGAATCTGCGTGCTTTTGTGCATCGCACAGGTGCTCATTGGGGTCCTCGAACAGCCTCCAGGTTCTCAGTCCAAAAACCGTCCTGAGCCAAACATTCGCGATGAAGCTGCCAAAGCACATCGGCCAAAGCAGATCACGCATGATTGAAGGAGCGAAGAGACATGCTGCCTCAATACTGGAACCTTGGTTGCCAAACACCATCGTTGTGCTCGAAACAGTTCTTGCTAATCTTACCAGACCTCTCCCCAGTTGTTTGTCGATTCTGAACTTGGTAGTATGAGATTTGTCCCCATCAGACGTTGCACAGCTGACAATGAGAGGTCATAACAGCATCTAGCTCAACATATTGTTTATTGGTGTGTATCTCAATTATTCGTCAAGATCTATCGTGGTTGCGATGGACATGACATCACTGGACTCTGCAAAGCTTTGACCACGCCAGTATATAGTATCTATGATAGTGATGTGTTGCTTTTTCTTCCCTGTGCCTCGTGAAGATACACGATAGGTGAACACCCGCTGCAGCGCAAACGGCTTCTTCATGGAGTCTTGGCTTGCGCCTCACGTGCGGGGCCCGAGAGAAAGCTGCGGGCAGTCTAGCAAGACAAGCATGTATCAAGTCTGCGTTGCTATTGGCTGGCCATGCGAGTCTGCGTGGGTGTGTTTGGCACGATCGGCTCGTGTGCCGGATCAGTGAGGGCTGAGCCTCACAGATCTTGAAGCATTTGCAGCCACGAATCACGAGGTCATGTTCTTTGGGCTTCAGACGCGAGTCTTGGGGACGTTCCGTGGCAACAACAGATTGTTTCAGTGTTCCAGGACTTTGGTTCTGTCAGTAGAGAGTTTCCCAACATTAACAAGGTTGATTTCATTGACATAACCACTCACATCTCATTATCGGCAAGGATCCCATGTTCCCATTCATGTTTCTTATGCAATTTGCGGATGCGGGGAGTTGATCAATGACCTCAGGCTGCGAAAATGAGTCGTTAGCAGCAATATACAACAAACAGGCTAAAAGAAGCTTTGTTGCCCCGGCGCACAATTCCTGAGGCCTGCGCGCCGGGATCTGGCAGGTCCAGGGTGACGCAGCTGCAGCGGTACCACATTGTGTGGCCTAAAACCTGAATGGAAGACTATTTAGGTCACGGATATCAGAACATACGAAGCTAGCACAGATGGTACACAAATACTTGAACAATCACTGGCATGTTGGCGTAAACCATGCAGATTTCGAGCTCCGGATGCCTTGGTTGCTACCGGGCTTACTGTCTTATTATCCTTGCAACTCGCAGTACCTGAAGCTGCAATCCTACAAGCTGCAAGTGGCAGCAGCCAGGGACGTTTACATAATCGAGGAAGCCCGAGTGAAGCCAGAAATCAGTCGTCTTCAACTCCCTGAAGGCCTTCAGTTCTGAGCTCTGTGTTGGTTGAAATCCGAGGTGGCCAGCCGCCCTGTGTATGTTGCTTCGGCTGGCAGCCTTGCTGTATGGCTGCCATGCTATATATATATATATGTATATATAGTATTACATATAAGCTGCCGTGGGTGAAGCTGACAGGATTTCAGGTGCAATCCCTTTGTTTTCGGCACAGAAAGACAGTGGCCATGTCCTTGATGCAGACGTTAATTTTGTGGGGGAACTCATAATAAAACTGTCCAGCAAGCGTTGGGCTGTCAACAGATCTCCCTCACCTTCCTAGTCAAGTTTTGTAACAGAACGGGCAGCGTGGGCTTGAAACAATAGGTCTGTCACCAACGCGTGTAACAAGATGAAGGGGAGTCCCCCAACAACCCCGTATCTCGAGACAAGATGACCAGCGCACTAGAAGCACAATTTCTTCCTACAGCTTGATCAGATAGTGTAAAGTGGTTCCAGCATAATTAGGTAGTCAGAAGCCAAGGGGCCAAGAGGCACAACAGAAACTTGCCAGAGCCTGACACTTTGCGTGCGGCACAGTCGATGATACTTGCACATGCATGCCCTCATGTTTCAATGGCCTTGAAACCTCATGGCAAAACCCCCATGACAAGCTCGAGTAAATGTCTGCAAGTTGTGACCCACCAGCCCTGCCTGCCAGATGCTCCCGAAAACGCGTAGCTACCCAAGATCTCAAAACTGCAGCAGTGGCGAACTGAGACGTGTGGGCTCCTGTGCTGCTTGGTGCCCTTCCCCGAAGATGCGCAGCCCTCGCCGGGGCCTAGGAACTGATTTGTTCAATTTGTTTAGTTGTAATTTGTTTCGGTGCGTCTTGCGGCCAACGAGGGGTGCATCACTCCGATGATACAGTCATAGTTTTGCATTCCGTACTCGCATTGCCTGGGGATTGATTGAATCTTCTGGCCTGTATCAAGGCATTTTCTCGGCAGACCGCTTGGCCGCGCGGCCTTTGCGGAGTTTGCTATGCCAGCAGGTGCTGCCTTAAGCGCTGCTGAGGCAAGGCATGGTGTTCAGCAAGATTGTCTGGTCGAAGTCTTTGTACGATGCACACCCGCTAGATAGATTTGCAACATCACGGCGCGGATACGGTATTTGACCCAGGAGCTTGCTCGCTTTGAAGTGGCAGGTCTCTAGGTTCGTTTGGGTGAGACTACAATTGTTAGAGATGCTGATGGGAGTGCAGAAAATGAGGGACGTTGGTGGTCTACGGAGTGAGTGCGGTGAGTCGGCTTTCAGCTTCTGCAAGCTATGATGCCGCCGCAGGAATGTATCACAAAGTTCAAATGCAGCCACACGGCCGAAGCTTAGGCAGTTTTGCTCGAGTCATCCCCCTTCCACACACGCAGGCACATTTGAAGATTTGTGTTATTCCGGTATTGTGGCCCGCCGTTGATGAGACTTGGTGTGACACATGGTGGATCCATTCGGTCGTGGTGAAGCTGGCTCCTTGTCTCTTGCTTATTGCTATCATATGGCCAGCACTGAGCTAAAGCTGCAACTCTTACAAGCCCGAAGTGGTAGGGATGAGGACGACCTCCTCCAACATGCGTTTGAAGTTGCTGGATTTGCTGGATGGCTGAGGCTTTCCCGGGCTCAGACCGTCAGAGTGGCTGCGTGCTGCACTCTTTGGTGCCCTCGGCGAGATTCAGAAACGGGCTGCAGAAAATCCTGCATTCCAGCGCTTTTGCCTTTCTCGTGAGGATAGAGGAGGAGGTGCCGGAGTGCATTCTGACTGACATGAAAACAAGTTCCGTTTGAATCAGATGAATGTGCATATGCGATGTTCGCCTGGTGGCAAGTACGCATCTGAATTCCATGTCCCCGTTTGAAGTCGCTTCACCTCACGATTCATGTTTCTCTAGGCATCATGAGATCCAGTACAGCCTGGAGTTCATTTTGGGGATGTACATCTTGGCAAGTCACATCAAGAGGTGCAGGGTCTTGTCCCAATTTCAATCGAGTGATATTGAGTGATATTGAGTGTGCAGATCGAAAATGCTACTGTTCGACATTGCTAGCAGGGCTCGTATCAACGATGATCCACGCGAACTGCGCCAAAACCAAATCTAAACCTGCTAGACCCACTTCCTGCAACCTAGATCCCGACTCAGCTGCTCTGACACTTTCAGCTTAGGCTGCCTGGTGCTGCTGATGCCTTTGCATGTCGGGATCACGATCTACCGACTTGCCACGAACATGCACTTCAGGGCTGCCTGGCTTAGCTGAAGGAACCTCTGAACCTTTCGCGCTTAGAGATATCAAGAGCCAGAAGAAAAATCTACATCTACCTACTACCGACGCGAATGGCAGAACATTTTGAAGCAGACGTTTTCTTGAATTGGGATTGGGATTTTTCCTGGGATTCGAAATTATTCAGCAGAAGCGCTTCGTGCGATTGGCATTGCGTGATGTTGCGGGCATCTCGGGGGGTTGACCTGAACCCACCCCCAGCCTTTGGCTAGAAGTTCGCAATTCAGCAGCTTCGGCTAAGGGTTGCAATCCCTGCCTAGATGGCAACCTGCCCGCCTCAGCAAAGACAGCGCGCAATGCCAGAGACACCACAGCCAGCAGAAGTGTGGCTTGCAGAACAAAAAAGTGGCAAGCTTTCCGCTTTGACCGAAGGGAGCATATGGAGTTACTGCTTTTAGTTTACAATCGTTTTTGAACTTTCATGTGGAAGTTGTGCATTGACGCTTGTTCTATCCAGACACTTTAAAGGAGACCCTCGAGCTTAGCTTGTGTGAGGGAATGTGTTGCGCGCCAGGAATATGAGGACTCCCTGAAAATACACTTCAGTTGTAATTCTACATGAGCGTTCCGCCGGCGTTGCATCGAGGACGGTGCTGTGGACAAGGAGCTCTGCAACGAAATCGAAATCAAACGAAAGGACCGCCTGACTGACCACGACCTCTTAGTTCTGAAGGGGAGGTGTGGAAGATATTCGGGCCTTTTAACATCAAAGGGTTATCGTCCTCTTCTGCTGCACTCTTACACGGAGCTCGACAGACATTGACATCGCATTCAGTTCCCGACTCCGTAGACTGTGCCGGCATTGCCATCCTCGATGTTCAGTTTGGTGGGGTAGAACGGGCCGACGCAGACGGGAACACGGGCAGTATATCATTGAACAGTCGAGGGTTGCGACCCCGGCGCACGCCACTATCCATGCGAGTCTTAACAATTTTCAGACAGAGTGCCGCGCTCGCGAAGTGCAGCTATGCCGCAACTCTGCAGATGCCTTATAAAAGGCTGAGGCAATGTTTTTTAATTCCTTGTTTTCGCTACTGCATGCATTCAGGAACGATTCAGAGACAAACGGCTTGCACGAGTTCGGCTCCTGTTTTGCATATCTCAGAAGTATGTTTGATCGCACCATTGTTTCTACTGCTTGGAGTGACCCTCTCTCCTTAAGCTTTTCACGGTGCGACGGCCGTAAGAAGTAAGCTGATGCAATCTACAGATCCCCTTCTCAGGTGATAAGCTTACGTGCAGGTTTGAGGAGCCTTCTCATTTTGGAAACGCAAATACTGTCCAGTCACTGACAGCCAGGAAGTTGAAGAGTTCGTGACATATCACGAAGAACATCCGCATGAATACGAACTTTTGGCTGTGGAGGACCGCTCTGCTCTTTTGGTGCTTTTAGGGCCTCGAGAGAGTTCCACCAAATTGCTCAAGGACTGGAGAGGTGAAGAAAGTAGTTTTGAACGGTATCTCAGGCTGGTGTTGATTAAATGGTTAGAGGCATTTCAGATTCCTGCCAGCTTGACGTGCTCAGTACCTGCTCGCTCTTACATACTTGTAGCAGCTCATGAAGCAGGCTTGAGGAACTGGATGGCCGTCTAGTTTGTTGGTTAACCCACAAATCAAGCCCAAGAGCTTTGTCACTGGCTTTGCTTTTTAAGTTTGTTACGATCCAAGCATGGTGTGGCAGGAGAGCAGGATCAGCACATAATCCAAAATATGTCCCTGTCTTCAACGATGGTAGAGACTGCCCTAGCCTCAAGGTGACCAGGCAAGGCCGCCAAAAGCCCTGATCACATGCGATCTAAGATGCAGCCCTGACTCAGACACCAACTCCAAGCATAGACGAGTTGATCGGACTGGTGTCTCGGGTACAGCTTTGCCCATTTGAACAGGATCCAGCGTCCGACGAGGTCTGCGAGAGGACGGCAGCTTGAGTAAGCTCCCGTAGCCATTTCGAGGACCTGGTGACCTAAAGGACTCCACGCTGCCAACGGCGCCGAGTCCTGCACCATGTCCCTTTCTCACAATGGATACAGTACCAATACAACGTCTCGCTTCGGGAAGATCGCGGCTCGAGCAAGCAGTTGTGCGATGTGAGCATAAGATTTTTACCGCAAAGTCGCCACCAGTCATAGGTCGGCTCCGTGTAGGAGGCTCAACAACTGCAGGTACAAAATTCGATTGCTGCACGCTCGATCTTTGCGCTTTGAAGAGTGGACACAGCGTGACTCCCTCCCGGATTCGGTCACGAAGCGTAGCAAGATTGCTGCAAGAGCCAGCTCGCGGGCAAAGTTTCCGCAGCTTCTGTGCATTGCAAGCCCGCCCCAGTCTCTACAACTTTTCCCGCAGGCATTGCCTTTCATGGCTGCTGCACAGGACTAGGGCAATTTCCACTTGAACTTGGGCCAGGCTGAGATTGAGAAGTTGGTGTTTTGCTATTACATGATTCGTTGTGGTTTTTGGGAGACTGGAGACTACTCCATTTGATCTCCAAGTCGTGTGTGCGGCCCCAACAACGGATGTAGCTGCTTCTGCACTCGGTCTTGGGTTTTAACTGGCTCTTGGCATGAAGATGGTGCACTGCAGGTTGAAGGCAAAGCCATACCACTTCCAAACGGAAACGGAAAAGTCCGCACCGCAAGATGGCATAGTACGATGAATTTGAGCATGCGCATCGTCAATCGAGCTACTCAAAGTTAGATCCGGACCAATGTGGTTGAGACATGTCATTTCAGACGCCTGAATTGTTTCAGACGCCTGAATTGCACTGGTTTGCGTGGGGCTCGAGATAATTCAAGATCTGACCATATCGGATGAAGATCAGACAAGAGACACGAGAATTGAGCAGTTTGGACTGAGACCTGCAAGTCATTCTGCTCTGGTGGTAGGCTTGCAACAAAGCAAGGCAAAGGCAAGCAGACGTCAGCAATCTTTAACGGTCCAATGCAGTCGAAGACCCTTATGAAGTCGATCCAGCCTGACTTGGCACATCAGCTTGCTCTTCAGTCGCGTCTGGTCGTCAAGTCAATTCTATTCAACTAGAAGTTTGGCATGTTGCATTCCTAAGGGCAGGCCCGAAGAAGCCATGAGCCGTGAGACTTCAGATGCAGTGGACAGCCTCCTGGCCATCGCGACGCGCAAGTCACCGGGTGATTACAAGCCCAGATTTTTTCAGGAGCCATGCTTAGCATTATTTGGTTCCTTTATGAAGATATACTTATTGGGTTGATTTATCAAGGTGTAGCTTACTATTGAAGAAGGATGTTTTACGTGAAACGGTAAAGCAAAGATGTTCAGAATCCATTATACAAGTTGGATATCAATGATGTGTGATAACTGTGTTGTACAGAATCTGTTTAGCGTTAGTAAAGCACAAAGAACTTGCTTTGAACAAGCGTGAACCCCTCGAATCTGTCCTCAAGATGCAATCAAACAGCTTGCCGCGCTTCCAGCCATGAGAAACTGAGATGACACTCAGGCTTCAAGGTTTGTGTGATGACGTTTCGCACCAGGCGGGCGACCGCTCATTCTGATGGATATGTATTTCGAATGATGTTAGGGGTGGTGCGAACTTCAAGATTCTCTAGCGAACATGTCATGTAAGGAACCCCTTGCATGGCTTTTCTCTATGGTCCAGTATCGTGTCTGGGCTTACAAAACCATGCCAATCGCTTGGCCAGCCCTCCTTGCCTTCAGGTAGCGAGCGAGCTGGCGAAGGCTTCGGCTGAGCTGGTTGCAAAGGCGCGCGATTCCCTTGCAATTTCAGTCATTGCAGAAGGCAAGACCACAGTCCAGCTGACCACACCGACCGTGTAGCGTTTGTCGATAAAATCTCTAGGGTCCTTGAATGAACGCAAAGGAATGTCACTGGATCAGAAGCGCCTGAAATATCTCTTGCAACCTACGGGTAGGAATTCAAGAGCGCTCCAAAAGTCTCGGGTATTCACCGTTACAGCAAGCAGCCTGCCTTTGTTCGGGCATAAATGCAGCCTCGCAAACCAACGAAAGATAACACAGCTTGATAGAGAAGATGCGGAGCCAAGAATGGAAGTACTCCCAAGGATCTTGCTGCGAAAGGGGCAACAAGAAAAACATGTCTTGAAAGAACAGCCTTGATTTTGCAGCATCGGCTTCTGTGACCCCTTTCTGCGGCAAGTTGCGCATCACTGGAATGCAGCGGCACCAACGTGCTCAGTACAACTCCTTACTGCTTTTTCCATGGCATAAGGTAGGAGAAGCCGTGACTTTGGCAAATGAAAACAAGATGCCAAGTCGTTGTGGCACTGCATTCTTTTCCACTCAAGCGCAGGTTTGTACGTGCCCACATCTCTGAAGCTCTCGAATTTGTTGATTCCATCTTGGGTTGCTGTCCATCGCCATATCGCATTGCACATGGTTTGGCAATGCTTAAAGTGAGGCTGGCTGTTCAAGTTGAGTATGCTTGATTCAGCTTCTTGAGCTGCCGCATGGAAGTGAGAAATCGAAACTCTACCACGCATCGGGCCAACAAATGATTAAGAAAGATGATGCCGCGCTTGCAGAACCGAGTTTGTCCGTTGTTTTAAAGGTGGACCTCAACCACGCCTCTGCGGACCAAGTTCCGCGACAGCAAGCTGCTTGCCTGCGAGTTTTCTTGCTTTTTTTTGATATGGTTCAGCGTGGAACTGGCCAGTTGACTTTTTAAGGGATTCTGTGGGTATATCTAATACGTTGTTGGCAACTCTCACGAAGAGTCAAGAAGTGCTTTTGAGAAGTTCCAGCCACATTCAAAAAGAATAGGAGCACGAAGAGAAGGGGTTTACTGGATTAATTCTCAGAAGGAATGAGGAATGAATCATAGGCTGAGAGAACAGAGT